ATTGTCTTCTGAGAGCTAATGGCGGTTCTCCTGCTAGGACTTGAAGGCTGCTAATTCGAAAGAACTTTTAGAAGATTTATTCTCTGTTGGCATGATTTAATAAGTTTATTTATGTGAGATGTCGATTTGAGTTGAGAGTCGCTTGTCATTCCCAAAAATTTGATTTCGTTGATTGTTATAAGAGTATTTCTGTTTAGTTTTAAATTTAAGTGGTTTTGTATTTTCCTTTTGTCAAATATTATTACTTTAGTTTTTTCGGTTAAAAATCTCAAGCCTATATCTAAAGACCACTCTTCTAATTTATTTAGTGTATTTTGTAATATTAATGCAGCTGATTCTAGGTTTTTACTTCTCATATATATTACAATATCATCGGCGTAAAGGTTTATCAACTTAAGACGTTATCAACTTATTATTAAAACGATCTTAACAACCAAAACGATCGAAAATATCTACCAAAACAACACAATACAAGTAAAAGTAGAAGAAGAACTAACAGACCCTTTTAAAGTTGATAATGAGATAAGACAGGGAGATTTCCTGAGTCATCTATTGTTTAACCTGATTATGGATAAAATAATAAAAAAAGGAAGGACTAAAAAAGAATACCAAATAGGAGAAAAATAACTTAAAATAATCAGAGGACGCAATACTGCTCTCAAAGTAAAGATGATTTGAACAGCAAATTTACTAATATTATATGGAAATTGGAGCTGGAAGGTCTGATAATAGAACAAGTGATGGAGTTTATAGATCCGCCTTGCATCTACGTCGTATATCTGTACTTTAAGCTCTGTCTCATAGTATTTTACTTTTACCATCAATTTTTCCAAGTGTTTTCATCATCATCTCTAGCAGATTATTGTAATAAGTTGTTTTTCTCCCATTTGGTATCATTTTTAGTTCTAAATTTTTTTAATCTTTCATCCATAACCAGGTTGAACAATAGAGGACTCAGGGAATCTCATCAGGCCTTATCGCACTGCCAGCTTCAATAGGGTCGGTTTGTTCTTCTTCTACTTTTACTTTTAGTGTGTTGTTTTGGTACATATTTTTGATCGTTTTGATTATTCCTAGAGGTATCTCTCTTATGTACAGTAAGTGGATAACGTCTTTTAATTTTACCTGATTTGTTGTATTCTAATGATTTCTCTTGCACTTGCCTCATTATAAATATAGTGTGGGTGCATGATCTTCCAGACCTAAAACCTTGTTGTTCTTTTGCTAGTGTTATAATTTTATTCAGTTTATTTGTTATCACTGCTATCACAAGATCAAGAACAAGAACACTGTTATCATATCAAGAAATAACAGAGTAGAATGGAACGATTATATAAGCCGAATGACAACAAGTAGAGTAGTAAAGACGGCAAGAGATGGAACTTACTGGAGGCACATTGAAAAACAGACACTCATGTGTACAAAAAAAAAGAAGAAAAAGAAAACAGATAAATGCTTCAAAACATAACATTTCGTCTATCTTTCAAAAATTGATAATTATATATTCGACTAAAATTACCTTTTTCTAATACATTTTTAATAAATTTTTTTTTATAATCTGCCAACTAAAAGTTCCAAAAATCATTAAATATTTGCACTTCTTTTCCTTATAAAGCATTCTGACAATTTCGTCTATTTCTCTCTATGTCAGATACCTACATGCTTGTTTTTTTTTTCTTTTATTTAAATAACCATGGTTTAAGTTTATTTTGCTTTTTCATTTATTTCTAGACTGCCTCTTTTTCAACTGAGTCGTTTTGTTTTTCTGTGATAATGGTAAAATGATTTTCTTGGAAAAAGTTTTTTCGATAACGTACACTATTATTTCGCTTCTTCTGAAAAAAAAAAACTCAAAAAGTGTTAAATAGTTTTCTTTCTGCCAATACTTACTCTTATTTTCAACTGCTAGGGATAAAATTTTAAAATAAAATACATAAGAAGAGTTTAATCTTTGACTAACACCGATGATAATTTTGAAAAAGCATACCTAAATGATAATTTCTTTATTTAAACTTATTTTTGTTTATATTTAAATGTCCAAATTGTCATTATAACATATTTTTTAGATATTTTATAACCAATACGTAACTTTAAATACCTTATTATAGGAATTCGACTTTTAACGGTAGGCAACACACAATTAACTTGTGATATTAATGTTGCCTAGCAGAAGATACCTATTTATTGATTTTTAATAAAATTAGTATTTATTTTATATAATTGATTGTAATAATGCTTTTGTTGTAAAAACTTTTTTATTATTTCCATTGTAAGTTTTATTTACTTTCTTAAAGTCAATTTGAAACAATTTCAGAACAAGATCAGCATAACCGTCACTTAAAAACTTTTTTTAAAAGAGCTCCCTCAAATTGAATAATTTGGGAAGCAGTTTGGAATTCTATAACAGTAAATCGTACAATCATAATTCAATCAAATATTTTGTCAAAAACATATCATTGCATATAGGAACTTATCGCTAAAAAAAAACAAACAATATTAGCAAAACAACAAGTCAATCACTGACAAAGATTATTCTTTTAAAATATTATTAACTCATTAACTTTGATTAGAGTTAGAAAGATTAGCAAATTATAGTGTAAAGGTATTCTCCAAAATAAGGGCAAGATATAAATAACGATAACAAAGTTAATGTTACCAATATCCCTTGTCAACTATAAATATAATAAATTTCATTTAGACGCTGTGGGAAATCAGCAAAATTAATCTTCTGATGCATCTGATTGGCCCCAAAATACTTATCTGACAAAACCATAGTCATAATACGATGCTTTCCTAGACAATAACAAAAGATCAAATCATGATCCAGAAGCTTACTAAAAGTCGTAGAGTAAAGTGTGCAAATCGCGGTCACCTAAGAAGAAAATTTAATATAAAAAAAAGTTAAACTCTGTGAATCAAATTTAAGCCGTCAATTCGTAATTTGGGGTTTTAACTTATTGCAAGATACATTTAATTTCAAAAATATAAAACTTTTGTCTTTGACAGAGACAAAACATAAAAAAGTATCTTTGGCCGGTATTGTCACCATACATGGACAATACCGGAGTGTGAGTAATGCCAGTCAATTTGTTTGTGTTATTATTAAAATAAAAATCAATATCTATTTAGCATTTTTTTGTTATAAAACGATTAACGAATGTGGCTTAATGGGTCATAATTCAAGTAAATCAGTAAGAAAGGTGAAAAAATATTTTTTATTACAAAACAAACAAAAAATAACAAAAATATGTGTTTTAATGTAAAAATAGTTGACAGTCATCGCAGGTCTCTGCAGAATCCCATCCACTGCACTCTGAATAAGCCCATCGTGAGCAAAAGGTAAATATATACCACAATTCATTGTTTTTGCCAAACTCGCTGTAAACCAGCCATCTATCTTCGTATGCATCGTCACTGTTATCACATGATATATCAATATCCGATTCCAAAAAACTAGAATCAAACACCTTTTTCTTGTAATGCCAATTACAAGAAAAAGGTGTTTTATTACAAGAAAAATTATCTTGTAAACCCAAATGCTAATTTTCTCAGTTCTATTGCTGTTACGCCATAAAAAATTAAGCTAAATATTTTTTTTGTGTGGCTATTTTAGCTTCTTGTTCGGCAGAAAATACTGATTTTCTACCTAATGAGACACCTGGAAGATTTTTATTTTTTATTCTTTCTTGCAATGTCGAAAAATGGATGGATTAATCCCTAAGGATTAATAGTATAGGGTATAAATTATAGCATGGGGGTAATACCGGTCAACTGACCGGCATTGCCTCCTGTTGGAATTTTTTTTCTTAGAATTTTTTACTCGTAAACATGTATTAAAATATTGATCTTTAAAAAAGGAATAGGCAGCTAACGTCATTATAATCAATTGTAACCAATTTTAAGATATACAAGTGAGTAAAAATGAATTAAGACCTTATATTACTCAGCATAAAAATAAGATCGAAAACACTGAAAACAGGTTAATAATATTTCTATGACAATGGTTTGCGCCAACTCAACGCTCGTCAGCAATCTGAATACAGAGTAGTGTAGCGACACGTTGGCAGTTATAGGAGGTTGCCAGATTGAATAGATTTCGCACAATCGGGATGACCGCCATTACCCACTGACCGGTATTTGCTCATTTTACCCTACGAAATTTTTTATCTGTAGTCATTTGGCCAAAAAAGGTGCTTTTTCTACCTGGAAAGTTGTCTGGAAGTTTTGAAATTTGGTAATTTTATAGATTTTGATGTGATCTTTCCGAATTTTAACTTTGCTACCTCATACCTCTGCCGCTCGCGCCGCCATATTGTAAAAATGACGCCTAATAACAGTTTTTTTACAATATTTCATTTTATGAGAAACTTTTTACTTTTAGAATCATTTTACGAGAAACATTCACATACAAGATGAAACTAGAAAAAATTTCCTACAATTTATGTATGTACAATTCTTCTCTAATATCAATAGTTTTTGCCTACATGTGCAGCAAAATATTATTCATCTACACCACCACATTTTTTTTGCATATTTCTCTAAAATTTCTCCAAGCTTTTATTCGGTACCATTTTCCCTTTACACCGTTTGGTTATTCAAAATCTTCCGACGTAGGACCATTGTATTTCTACTTACGTAAATGTTGTTATATCCGATATGCGTATATTCAATATCAAATGAAACCATATTGAAACAACAAAAAATCAAGGAAAAAATTAATACTCATAGAATTTATGAGAATATTAATCATTTTAATATCACTATACACAATACTACAACTAACGATACCATTGTAAAACAGCCATAAGTCCAAAACCCCCAAGAATGCAAATAGCCCTTGTGATTCTATAAACCCTTCTTTCTTTTTCCCGATTGAGCACTTCAAAAAACGTAATGTATAAAATTGTGCCTGCTGACAGTCCTTCCAAAGCTACTATTGCTGTTGATTTAGCCTTAGTCTCGGTGTCACTCGTATAAGTCACAATGATTCCAAGAATTACCCCTAATGGATTAGAAATCGCTAAACCTATTGAATGCATGCATATTGCCTTGAAGTTAACTTTAGCTATTACCATTTCTAAGCTTATGCAAAATAATATAGTAGCTGAATGGATGCAAACTGCTATGAAAAGGTACCATATGTCAGCAGTAGCTTTCTGTAGACCTATGGCTAAACCTTCGAATACTGCATGAAACGATAACGCTACCACAGTGAGTATACCACGCATGATCTGCTGTTTAGATTTGATTTCTTCTTCCATTTTTTCTTCAGCTGTTTCGTCATGATTTTCTTTGTCGTATTCTTTACTAAGCTGTACATTCTTTTCATTTTGTCGTGTTACCTCTGAATTTAAACTCAACGAGTCGTACACTATATTCTCGTGGTCCTCGTCAATACTTAAGCCTTGCTTTAGCTTGCTTATACTATCTTCATCTTCGTCCACAGGTTTACTTTCATTATCTTCTTTATTCAGTTCTTTTTCATACTGCTCTTCTATAACAAATGCTTTAATTGGAGAGGTTCTAACAGACTTATTGATTGGTGCTACTGCAGATCTAGTAAAATTATTGATTTTCTTAGAAGCTTGACATTCTTTGTCTGGGATTCTGGTTATGGCCCAATGTGAGATTTCTTCAAGGAAATAAACGAAGAAAAATCCTACGCAAATCGCTAGCTGTGAAAGTGGGTACTCTGTGTTCAGATCTCCGACAGTCTTCAGCTCCTCCATAGACTTGTACACCTAAAAAAGAAAAATTTATATTAAATATGATATTGGATATATTAGGACTGTGCTACCGTAAAACGGGGTTACATTGAACCCGAGGGTTACATTGAACAGTTTTGCAATGAAGATTATATTTTTCTACAAGTTGGCCTAAACTTTTTTTTGGGGCCGATATATTTTTTTGAGGGTTGCAAATATGTTTTTCTTGGACTTCCTGATATAATTTCAAGGTTCTCAAAATTAACAAAAATGAAATAAAAAATGGTTTCTGAAATAAAAGGTAGTAAAAAAAAATCTCTTAAACTTTGGTCTGCAGCCGGCGATATGCAAAAGATATCTTCTCATGACTAATTTTACACGATACTAGTACCTATTTGAACCTTATTCTACATAATACCGTAAATGATTAGGGTTTTGAATATTTTTAATTAATTTATACAAAAAATATGTCAAATGCAGTTGTGGTGCAACAGGTAGTGTAGTGCGATAATCTCAGTCCAAAATGCGTGATTACGTTAGAAAGTTGGGTAGTCGATCATACAAAAATTACACCTCTGATACTTTGGATTAAGCAATCCGCGAAATTAAAACAAAACAGTTATCACTTTCCAAGGCGTCGAAGAAATACAAAATCCCAAAAGGAACATTAAGTCACAAACTGAACAACAAAAAAATGAAGGACGTCGGAAGGCCCACAGTTTTAAACAAAGACGAAGAAAAGGCACTGGTCAAGATGCTTTTGAAAACCGCTGAATGGGGCTTTCCTTTGACTCACGACGATTTACGACATGTTATGAAAAGCCATTTGGATACAATGGGTAAGAGAGTTAAGCAGTTTAAAAATAATTTGCCTGGTATCGACTGGATTAAAGGTTTTCTGAAAAGAAACAGAAAAGGGTCTAAGAAAATCTCAAAATATAAACCCAAATAGAGCATTTTCCACTAGAGAAGTTTTCATTGCTTATTTTGATAACCTTAAGCAATGTCTAGACGGAGTTTCCCCCGATTGTATATACAATTTCGATGAGACAAATTTATCGGATGATCCTGGGCCTGCAAGATGCTTTTTTAAAAGAGGGGTGAAATACCCAGAACGTTTATTATCTCAATCAAAATCAAACATTTCTTTGAGGTTTTGTGGAAGCGCTTCAGGAGTTCTGCTGCCTCTGTATGTAGTCTACAAAGCAGAAAACCTTTGGACAACTTGGACGGAAGGAGGACCCGATAAAACCAGATACAACCGAACAGCTCATGGATGGTTCGATTCTGCAACATTTTTAAATTGGTTTACTTCTGTTTTCCTTTATTCCACGAGACATGAAGAAGAAGTCAAAGTATTAATCAGGGATAACTTGGCGAGCCATTTTTCTGATCAAATTATCAGATTGTCGGTTGAAAATAATATTCGATTCATATGTTTATCGCCGAATACTACGCATATCACCCAACCCCTGGATGTCGCGGTGTTCTCACCACTGAAGAAACAATGGCATGCAATACTCAGCGATTATAAGTTAGCAACGGGATCAACTGGTCTTCCAAAGGAGATGTTTCCAAAACTTTTAAAAAAGCTGATGTTAAAATTCGCAGAAACTGGTGAACAAAACCTTCAAAGTGGCTTTCGGGCAACGGGTATATACCCTTTAGACAGAAATCAAATATTAAAGAAATTGCCTGGTACTGATGATACTGAATCAAATGAAAGTTTTTGAAACAGTTTAAACGACACAGTTTTACAATTTCTACGGGATATTAGGGACAAAAAGAACTCAAAGAAAAAAGAAAATTACCATCGCACTGGGTAAAATCATTGGATTGGAAGATTTTGAAATAGGAGAAAGTTCTGGATGTTCTGCACCACCCACGAAGAATAAGAAAAAGTCTGCTAAGGAATTGGATAGTGGCAGTTTCGACTACGAACTAGAGCTTCAGGACGAATCTGATTGTGATTTCGAGACATTTTGTGATGAAATGCACCAAGAAAAGAACGAGGAGATCGAAAGGCCAACAGGGGCTGCAGTCGTCGACGATTATGTGCTCGTGAGATTCGCAACCAAAAAGATCTTTAAATTTTTCGTTGGTCTTATAAAAGAAAAACTGCCTGATGGAGATTATGTGGTCAAGTTCCTGAGAATTGCGAAGAATTCTGCCTTCTATTGGCCAGAGGTAAATTTTTCAGTGCATTTTGCATTATACCAAAATCGATTGTTGATTTATTTTCAGATAGACGACATTTCAGTAGTAAGTTCTTCAGATTTTGAGAGACTTCTGCCAGCTCCAGCTGAAGACCGCCGCGGAAAAGTGGTTTTTTCGATCCAATTTGATGGGTATACTCTGGGCTAAAATCCTTCTAAAGACTGTCGTTTATACGTTTCCCTTATGTTTTGTCATTTGACTTGAAAATTACCAATTTCTTTAGTTTGAAATATTATTTTATAAAACTGTGTAAAAGAATTTAAAGTTTAATAAAAAAGAATGTAAAAAAATATTTTGTCAATAAATATAACCATTGAGAAAAAAAAAACAAACAAAACTCTCCCCACTAGTTTTTTTCGCTTGTTTCACTGGCGGGGTTAAATTGAACGAATAGCTAACCTGTGGGCTCGTAGACACTGATTTATACTACTGCTCAATGTTACCCCGAACCCGGGGTAAAATTGAACAGCAACTTTTTTATAGCTATTTTTACATAGCTACGTCCAAGAGATAATCTAACGTATGTAAGTCATGCTTCTATAGTGACCCATAAGTGGTATTTTTTTTTATTCGATTGAGCAACAGATACAAAACTTATTGAACAAAATATGAAGAAAATATTCAATGTAACCCCTTTTTACGGTACATAAACTAATGTGCAAATTGTTATAATGGAAATAATCGAAACATACAGTTTTTTAAAGATCTTTTTTTATTGCCTAACTAATATAAATATAGAGATTGTAGTGACTATCGACTTTTAAGTCATGTGAGCCATTCTCTGAAAGTTTTTCTTTAAGTCATATTTATTTTGCTTAAATATACTTTGAAATGTAAAAAAATAATGGAGAAATACAGTTGGGCTTGGGTTACCTTACCCCAAATTTTATTTTGCAATTCTTTCTCAACTTCAGATTAAATTGGAAAAATCAAGTCTCTGAATTTAAAAATAATTGTTTTAAAAGGATCACCGTTCTTAAAACCCTCAGTCATCTTCAATGGGTGCCGATGAAACTACTTTACAAGTACTTTAAAAGTCTACAGAGCCCTTATTTGATCTAAACTCGACTTTGGTAGTTTTATTTATTCCTCTGACTCTCGATCTGATATAGATACATTAAATTCTGTTCACAATAGCGCGCTCCGTCTATGTCTAGGTGCTTTTCGCTCTAGTTTTATTCAAAGTATGTACCGTGAATGAAATTACCCTTCTTTTACCCTAAAACGACAATCTCTTCTACTCTCGTCTGCTGCCTCAACATCCGCAAATACCCTAATTCCGTTCATTTCCTAATTACCACAATGCCGTCTTCTTCCACTAACAATATCCAACACCTTATCATAATTACCATTTAAATGTTTTGACTCTGCCCACGATGTAACAGTCTCTCTCACATGGCTGCCTTCTCTTACTGGAATTACTTGTAATAAAACAGCAGATCTTTTACCAAAGAAGCCATCAACCATAATACTGGAGTCACCCCAATTCAACTAGCTAATGATCTCCAATTCATTTTCAAAAAGTCAGTAGACGATACCTTGCAAAACTTGTGCCAAAAGAACATAACGACTCTTCATATACTCCCACCGTTTATTGGTCATCTCTCCCTGGATTTCCTAACTAGAGAAGAAGTATTGACTATTAGAAGACTCCGAATCAACCACACCAAACTTACCCGAGGTTTTTTTATGTAGTCTGGAACTCGTCAAACTTGCCACTATTGCAATGTTTACCTAACTGTAAAACACATTATTACTGACTGCAAACAATTCCCAACCTATATAAAGCACTAGTCTTGAACCCTACGAAATACTAATCAACCCTACAGAGATCACAAAAACTATACAGCTCACACTACGTCTAAAGAGAAAATTCACCCATCCCAGATACTTAAGGTATCAAAAGGATTGAGCTGTGGTGGGACTCTTTCCGTGTTATCGAGCCCTAGGTGACTGGGTATACAGGAGTACCTTTCAAAAATTTTTGTACACATCTGGACGACGCTAGGAGTACAGCTTTCTGCATGGCCTTGTGTAGATATTTATTTAGAACCAGCTATTTTATGTTCTCTAGGAGGAATAACTTCTAAAGAATTTTGGGAATAACAGCAGTAGTAGGTAGAATAAAAGGTACTGTCTGGGTACTTTCCATTCTACATTGTCTACTAATTTGTATTTCTAGATATTTGTACTTGGCGATCTTTTCGTTGTATTTAACACGTTAATTATTGGTGTTGAGTATCGCCACATCAATAAGTGTTGTTTGCCTAGTAAGTTTATTAAATGAGATGAGATCCGGTCTGTTATGTGCCTCTGGTAGGACTGTGAGCAAAGTGCGGTCCCAGTAGAGCTTGTAGTTATCATTATCAAGCATTCTGCCAGGGATGTATTTATAATAAGGAAGGTGGTCGGTTTGAAAGCCAGTTCTTGGTGGATAATTTTTTCTACTGAGTCATGGCGTTCTTTATAATCAGTACCGACAAATACATGACAGCCACCGGTAAGATGTTAGTTGGTTTCTTGGGCTTGGCATCTATATCGGCATTTATTAATTTGGACTTAACGATCTTTATCAATATATTTTAGGTTATTTTTAGTTAGAATTTAGGATTCTAAATGGCAAGTAGGAAACTCTCAGTCTCGGGAAACATCTTTCCTAATGTCAACCAATAGCTCGACGGTATTTATTATATATATATATATATATATATATATATATATATATATATATATATATATATATATATATATAAATATTTATATATATATATATATATTATTATACTTCTTCTTCCACAAACGCGGAA